ATATATTAATTAGCTAATTTGCATAATTAATTAATTTTCAGCCTTTGATATTTCAAGTAGTAATCATCACATTTCAATGACACTTGGTACATAGATGTCATAGGACACTGCACAGACCTGATAGTTCTTAGGGTAGTAGGAGTACATATTAATTACCTAATTTGCATAATTAATTAATTTTCAACTTTTGAGATATCAAGTAGTAATCGTCATATTTCAATGAGACTTGCTACATAGATCTTCTAGGATTATGCAGAGACCTGATTAGTTTTAATTGGATATTAATTACCTAATTTGCATAATGTTCCACTGATATATAAAGAACCACAAATTGGATTTTAATGAAACTTTTAAAGAGAACTATGCAGAAACCCAATTATTTTTTGGTAAATATTTATGCTTATTAATCTCCTAATTAACATAATTAATTATTAAACACTGATATCTCAATTACTAATCATCACATTTGAATAAAATTTGGTACATAAATGCTTTAGAACAATAGAGGTCTGATTAATTTTGGGTTAAAATTTGTTCATATTAATTCTCTAATTGGCATAATAATTCATAATTTTTTTGTTCTGTTCTGTTCATATTAGTTACCTGATTTACATAATTAGTTTTCAGCTTTTCCATCAATATCTCATGTACAAGTAATTTTTAATTAATTTTTAATGTGTCTTCAATACTCTCAGCACATGGGAGTTCTTTCTAAGCTTTCTTTGATTATATGTAAATTGCATTGGGTATGCACAAAGGTGGTCACTTTGAACAGATGGTTTGACTATACCATAATTTTTGTATTAATTAGATCATAAACAAATAATTTGTCAATTGTCATATGACAAATTTTCAATTACATTTTGGAGTGAATAAATTAAGAGTAGATTTCAATCAGTGCTAACATGACTGCAGAATTAAAAATGTCATTGGAGGTCATTTATAACTGAGAAATAGTGGAGCATGGAAACATAGAAAGACTTGTCTCTTGTAATGCTCGTTGATAATTGGGTGAATATATTGTAGTTGAATGTGGCAATTTCCTGCCAAGTCGGTTGAATAGGATGAGGACATTTTAGCCAAATTTAGATGGTACTATTAATAAAATTACCAAGCAAGAAAAAATTGTCTAAATACAGTAGTTTTATCAGTGTTTTTATTTATTCACTGAAATTGACTTGGTGCATACATTTCAGTTGTGAAAAAGCAAGACACACATTAACTATAAATAAATCACGAATACTATAATGGTACATATCAGTTGTTAAAACCTTGAATGTACAACCAGTTACACATCAAGAATAAATTCATATTTAAAATAAATTTCAAAACAATTCTTAGTGAATATGTTGGCAGGAGTTACATGAGCGTACACATACTGAATTTTGATATTAAAAACTGAAGTTCTCTGTTTTAAAACTTTGTTTGAAATTAAAAACCTATTTTAAGAACAAACTCAAACTATTGTTGTGTACAGTGTAATAAAAAACCACTAAATAAGTACTGTATGGATTTTTGTTTAATGATTCATTACTCCAATTAAAGGGCACTGGTGATACAGACAAGTGGAATTTGTGTTAGGAAACAGTGATTTTGATCTTTGAATTTGAGACATTCTGTGCATCCCAATCATCCCAGAAATTACCTAGTTAAGCCTTTGTAGTGTCTTTTTTTTTGTACATGTATTTCAAAATAATCTTTGCCATTTCTTTGTCAATATTTGAACTATACCTTGTGCATGTGCAGCACAATGAGCAATGGCCTTTAATTGATAAAAATTTCACTAAAAAAGATAAATTCTTGTTAACACATGATACTGTCAATTCATAATGATGCATATATTGTTTAAATTATTAAAATCACCCACAAGATTACTCTATAATATGTTTTATTTTATTATGCTTCAATCTTGAGGCATTGTAAAGTGTGGAATCCTGATTTGTAAATTACCTTTATACCTGAGATTTGTTTATTTACACCAAACTGTGCACAAAACTTTTTTAATATTAACTGTGTATTTCATTGACTTTATAAAGGTGGTACTCCTAATTACTGCATTTCTAATATTCAATTGTTCATGTCCAAAGTCATTAGATTTGTTCTTTAGGCATTTATGATATGTACCATTATTTTCTCTTAGAGAATGAATTTCATAACTTATTATTATTAATCTAAGAGTTGGCTCATAAAAACATTTATATTGGGTATGTATATATATCTAATTTGGATAAGAAGATCCTAAATTATTTACTATGTTACTTAAATTTTAATTGCATGAACATTTCTTTAGAAGACTAGGTGAAGTCATGGAGGTATAAACAGACTCCATGGTCAAGTTTATCTCAAAAGGCAATTACTGGTACTCTGGGAAACTTGACCTTGACCCTGATATGCACATTTGCATGGATATGTTGCTCTCAAGGTGAACTTGGCTGTGAAGATTGCAGCACTATATAGATGGACCAGTTTTTCTTTTCAAATCACCTTGAAATATTGGCATACACCATATTTTGGCCTTGAGATGCTTATTAGTTATTACCCTTAAAAATAAGTATACATATAATACTGATATATGTCTGTAGACTTAAGGTACAGGTATGCACTCAATAGTCTGTTAGACATGTGTAATAAATTATATAATGCAAAGTCTGATAAATAAGACGATAGTCAAAGCCACAATTCATATGTTGGATCAAAAAGGATGTTGCCTTTCTTTTAATTTTTTTAAATCAATATCCTTTACCCCATTCCATGCTGAATTTTAGAAGATAACAAAAATATATGCCAAAAACAGGTCAGTAAGTTTGAATAGATCAATTCCATGAATTGTTAGAATAGGTACTTAGTCATGTAACCAAAAATATGCTTTTTTAAGCACAAGTCATCAAAAAAAAGTTTGGTTAAAAAAAAATAAAGCCTTGCCTTATTTTTTGAAAGGAAATTTATTGAGTATGATTTATGCGAGACAACTACGCAGCTGTAAAAGAATTAAGTTGGATGTAATGGATAACCCACAAGAAATAGTATATCCTTTAATATCTCTTCCTTGCTTTTTTTTTGCCCTTTCCTTCACTTTTTCCTTCTTCTTTTACGATCCCATTTTTTTGCACTTTCTGCTTAGGGACGCCATTCTGTTTTGACTTGCCCCCACCACGTCGTCTTTTTGGAGTCTTCTTCATGTACTTGACAATGAAGAATACAAGAATGGTGGCGAGATAAGGAGCAACCCAATATACCAATAAATGTTCATATACTGGGTGGTCGGCACAGTTGAATGTAAAAGCTGTGGCAAGGGCTGGGTTTAAAAACATTCCAGTATATTGAGCACCTGTGTTGGAGAGAGGAAAAAAATATAAATTAGTTAATTATGAGAAATGATAGCATTGAGTACTTGTAAAACCATTTATTTTTCACTGACATTTGATTTAACTATTTGATCAATTTCACTGGGTTTACTAGTGTAGCAGGGAAGCAAGTATTTACCTTGCTGTATCCACAGTAGATTACAGTTGCGTAATAAACTATTATTATTATAATTTAGTGAATTTCACTTATCAACAAAAATAGCAAAATAAAAAAACTGAATATTTAATTTACAGTATGAACTTACTGTACAATGGCTAGTTGAAGGATAAAAAACCACAAGGGAGTGACTGATAGAACACTTTAAACAGTTATAAAACTAATCTCAAATTGTACACTATACATAGAACCACGGTCCCTTCACAAGGGAGTGACTGATAGAACACTTTAAACAGTTGTAAAACTAATCTCAAATTGTACACTATACATAGAACCACAGTCCCTTCACAAGGGAGGGACTGATAGAACACTTTACTTTAAACAGTTAGAAAACTAATCTCAAATTGTACACTATACATAGAACCACAGTCCCTTCACAAGGGAGGGACTGATAGAACACTTTAAACAGTTAGAAAACTAATCTCAAATTGTACACTATACATAGAACCACGGTCCCTTCACAAGGGAGGGACTGATAGAACACTTTAAACAGTTAGAAAACTAATCTCAAATTGTACACTATACATGTACATAGAACCACAGTCCCTTCACAAGGGAGGGACTGATAGAACACTTTAAACAGTTATAAAACTAATCTCAAATTGTACACTATACATAGAACCACAGTCCCTTCACAAGGGAGTGACTGATAGAACACTTTAAACAGTTATAAAACTAATCTCAAATTGTACACTATACATAGAACCACAGTCCCTTCACAAGGGAGGGACTGATAGAACACTTTAAACAGTTTTAAAACTAATCTCAAATTGTACACTATACATAGAACCACAGTCCCTTCACAAGGGAGTGACTGATAGAACACTTTACACAGTTAGAAAACTAATCTCAAAGAGTACACTATACATAGAACCACAGTCCCTTCACAAGGGAGGGACTGATAGAACACTTTAAACAGTTAGAAAACTAATCTCAAATTGTTCATTCATCTTAAATTAATTGAATTTCTACAAGCAGTTGAGATAATGGTTTATATAAAATTGTTATTGCAATTTAAGATGCTACAGCTGCTGTTAATGAGACAGTCTCAATGTGCTGTTACATTGCTAAGAAATGTTCATTCCCCCCCCCCCCTCCGTCTTTGTTGAAACAATAAACAAGTTCAACACCTCAAAACTTGAATAAATTAAATTAAATCCATTGTTGTGTATGTGTTGCTACTATACATGTATAAAGATATACAATAGTGAGATTTGCATACTTAATGAAAAATACAATTTTTTTTTTGAAGATTGATGTGCTTATTTTGTGTACGAATCATATTATTTTAACTTTCCCAAAAATCCATGTTTCTGTGTACATACTATGAGGACAAAGACAGTACAGCAGGAGTGCAGTGGAGTTTGATGCAACCACTACTCTCTGAGTGCATACTTTGCAGTACTAGGATTCTTGTAATAACCTTATTATTATACGTATGTCTTTTCCTCCCAGGGATGCTAATGTGCACAATTATTTGGAATTTGCGTTTCCTAATGTGGTAGAATGAAAATACCTAGTGCAATACCACAAAATTACGGCACACTGTAACTTATGCCGTCATGGTGACAGATGTATAATAATATTTATTTGGTTGTTTAGTTTTTTTAATGTCCTGGTGGCATATCACTATACAAATTGCACACTGCATAGTTGAGTGCTGTTTCTATTTTTTGTTTACTAGTATAGATTTATAACTAATAAATTGTCACTGATAAGTACTATAAGTATTCACAATTTATATAACTAATAAATTCCCACTGATAAGTACTATTCACAATTTATATAACTAATAAATTCCCACTGATAAGTACTATTCACAATTTATATAACTAATAAATTCCCACTGATAAGTACTATTCACAATTTATATAACTAATAAATTCCCACTGATAAGTACTATTCACAATTTATATAGTGATTTCTTTTCTATCAGTAGTGAATGTGTTTGCATATAAATGGCAGAAGTATAATGGTATTATGTTTTCAAAATAAAAGCCCTAACACCACATTGTTGATACTGTGAATAAAAGGGCATTAAAACATATGTGTCACAGATCTGTTGCATAAACCATGGAGGTAAAAAGATCTCTTTTTACCTCCATGCATAAACTATCAGAGCTCATAACTAATGAATGTATTGCCACTTTAAAATTGGAATTTTAATATATTATGCTATATAGTTTCTGTAAAGTTAAATTATTTTTTTCATATTTACGAAATTTAATACTGGTCTAGTTGAATAAATTCAACATAATGTGTAAAAAAGACAGTCAAAAAAAAAAAATATTGTCCTCATGAACACCATTAAATCATCAAATCACTAGTAATGAAAATAAACTGTTACAGTATATTGTTAACTACTTTAATTTTCACTTGGAATTTATTTTTGCTGAAGGGATGAGCCGATGAAAATATCCCTTTTTCCTATACTTTACATCCAACTCATCAACAACTTCATATAAGACAGCAAAGTGTCTTTTCAGGGAAAATTAATTCTAGCTAAAATAGTCTTTTACAGTACCGGTAATATTATTATGCTTACCTGCCAGAGTGAATGACACTACCAAGATGGCAAACACTATGCCAGCAAAGTTCTTTCCACCAAATTCAAATCCAGCCTGAAAGCGAATGACCATCGTGGCAGAGAATTCAGCCATCATGCCAAGAGCCATTGTAGTTTGCATGGCTGACGGACATTGCTGTGTTGCCTGTGTCTCGATGATTTCCATATGGTGTTCCAATATACCAATGCTCCATATCGACTTGAGGTGAAGCAAGGCAATGAAACCACCCAGAACATTGAATGCAGTTTTGCAAACAGTGGTCAACAGGCTCGTTCTCTTTTGTAAAAAATCGTTCAAAATGCTGCAAGGATTGCCGTGGCCATCGAAGGTCAGCCCGAAGCCAATTGCACAGCAGAACAACAGAGTGGCGAACGCCGAAACCCCATATCTCGGCGCCACGACCATGCCATTCTCGAACACACAGGCGGTCAAATGATACATGCATATCACTTCGCTGACGTAGGGTCGCACAGACTTCGGAAGTAGTTTTCTGTTGACTAGCCGCAATATATGACATACGATAAAGACAACTGCGATGTGGCCAAGGGAAACTGATAGCGGGTAAAGCCAGTCAATACCCAAGTCCTCGAACATATTCTCAACGGCTTCCATATCGCTGACGAGTTAAGTACGATTTTGGTGAAGATAAGAAGTAGTTGTAATAGCTTGTTTCACGCAAACTTATATAGAAGCAGACTGTGACGTGGACACCGAGTTATCAACTCAACAACTACCAGCATTAATCGATAGCTCAGCTGTGCCAAACAAGATAAGAAAATGCCCGTTGTAATAATAATGTTGTCTGCCGCAACGTGGTGTCAGCTCTCATGGAAAACTTTTGTAGTTACAATTAGACTTGGGTTCGAAACAATAACTTAGGACGCTCAGCTGTTGGCCACGATCAGCTGAGACAACAATGGTTCTGAAAAAACAGAAGCCAAACGATTCACAATGCTTTGCTTACCATACGCACACGTATGCGCCGTTCAGGTGACCCATGAACTCTGACCTTCGCATAACTTTGCGACGCTGGTGGAGTCGCGGCGGTTCTTTAAATTTGATACAACTTGGGTATTGGTCAATTCCATTCATTCGGGAGGGATAGGCCGAGCATAAATACTTATGTTTCGTTTCGTTGTGCGCGTCAGTTAAAAAATGTTGTCAAATTTCATGAAATATCATCATGAAACACGTTTTAGAATAAAAATAAAAACCTCTTGGCGCGTCGAGAAACGTGCCTGTTTCAAGTTTATTTTACCCTGCCGATATTCCCATTTCGGGAATTTCAATAAATAATCTTGTGTTTTTCAATCAACTTACAGTAATAAAAATATCACGCGTTTTTTGTATTTGAATTATCGTCACGAGATTGACCATATGAGCATGGTATTCAGATTAAGTTGTCTTACCATGTACTGTGTGAAAGATTATACTATACAGTCTGTAATTTTACAATTTTGTTTTGTTAACATTTTAGTACATTCAAATATTCCCGGTCATGCCGACTCCATTATTATTACGAATGTGATATTAATAAAATAAATTATTTGAATTTGTGCAGTGCAAAATATGTGGAGAGAGGTGGCGACTAGTATGGGGTGGGTGCTCTCAGGTATTCTATAAAAATTGTTGTACATTCGACATTTTTTGTATTTTTGATAACAAAAAATGTAGGATAAAACTCTACATTTCCACAAAACGGTTTTGAAGTTGGGCACTACCATGTAAAAACTGGTCTTACCAATTTACTGTGTATATAGATATAGAAGTTCACTTACTGAACTTAGTTACATGTTATATATAGTGTATATCGATATATTATGCCAGCTATGTCACATCGGTCCCAATCGCTTACAGCCTGGATAAAAATGGTCTCTACAATGTTGTAAGCTAAAATTAAGAGTTTTCACATGCCTTGTCTCGTATCGAACACACCGCAATACTTTATATGTTTTCAAATAATGTTGGTTTGGACATACCTCACACCTGGCCGAATTGAACAACTGACAAGTCCCTGATACCGAGGAATCCAGAGATTATTGGAACAAGCCTGTCTGTTAGCTTAAGCGGGTGGGCCTTTCTGTACAAGGTTGTGACGCCGACTCTATTATAACCGATACATTTACCCGTGTGTCACTGACTTTAAATAATTTAATGTCACCAGGAACAGCATAACCGGGAAGAGAAGGTAAGTAAATGACTAGTGTAGTATCGAGTATGTGTAAATTCATACATTTATGAAAACACTGAACATGAAGCTACACACGTGTACAGTAGTTACGTGTTGCCAATAAAACCGTCCATAAATGTGTTGCTTCATTTTTAGATTGTGTCAGGTGAACACTATTGGGCAGCCGCTGTTGAAATTAAACGCTCGTCTCGGAGAAATGGCGAAAGAACGAAAAGACCATTCGTCTGGTGACGACAATCTCAAAACTCTAAAGTCCAAAGTGCAAAAGCGTGGATCAAAGTGTGGCAAAGTACAGAACGGCATGGAATACAGGAGTCGATCGTCCAATAGTTTAGTGTTAAATATTACTGTCTGCGTGTTGTGCTGCGGTATAATGATTTATATTGTCAGAGACAATTCATCTCTGGATAACAGGGATAACGCGGTAGCTGCTCGCAAGGATCAGGGTGATCCGGCGAAGGAGTCGCATGGAACGGGTGGTGTCATGAACGTACCACGTTCAACAGGTGGCAAAAATACTGAAACTGGCATGGACTCGGATGATCTCAAAGGAAGTGACCAGAATAGCAAGAGGGACACGGGGAAAACTGGAAATGAAAGTAAAATAAAAGCTTCCGACAATCCAACAGAACAAGGAAACGTAAGGGGCTTAAACGTCGACTCGGTTAGCAAGGCGAAGCCTAAAAAGCCTAACAAAAATACGAAAAAGAAAACAATAGACACTAAAAAAAGCCAACCCATCGTGTTACACCCAAATCCGACGAGCAGTTACAACGCACGGGAAAGTGACGAGATGAGAAACTTTAAGGCTTCTACTTTAAAATCTCTAAAGATTCGAAACATTGGCGTCGAAGAACGTGATATTCATTATCGAGAGCTCACTGGCGACCAGCCGAACAATAGCTCGGTTAGGTAAGAAGATTAAAGTTTCAGTTTTTAACGATAGCGTACTAGTTTGTTACGCCAACAGTGGTTATTTCAATGTATCACAATAACTCATAGCTCGTATAACCGTTGTGTGGTCCGCTTTTAATTGAGTAAACAGGCCACGTATATCATTTCACACGTTGTATGGGACCATGTCCCGTATACAATGCTTTGTAGAGTTGTTGGCCATCATTAAAAAAGATGATTAGATTTCCTCGATTTTTACCGACGGTGTATGGTTTCATTTCATGCCCGTGACGTCCTTCACGAAACCCAGATAAAATATATGGCCTAACTACTTTTCACACAAAACACGGGTCAATGATCCGTGACAATTATGATGTTTGGACCATTTACGTTAGTTTTATTCAATGAAAAATATTTCTTTTTATGAAAGAATGCTTAACATGGATTCTTAGTATAAACATTTTTGTTGCAAGCTTTTTGGACAGCATTTCCTGCTTGAAAAATTGAAATAAAATGATAACTCGTGTCTAAAACTATAATTACTATGTCAAACTTTTGAAAAAAAAATGAAACATTTTTCGCTCTGATTTCCTGTGGCGACTGTTCTCGAATGATAAACGTATATTATTAACACTCCTAATATATTAACACTTAGTGACACGCAATACAAATCTCAGTTCTAGAAGACATGTTCGTTTGCATGGCTTTTAAGATTCTCCAGAAAATGTCGGAAGAATCTTTTGAACTTTCGCTTTTTCTCTTTCAGATTATACCTCTTTGACAACTTTCTGAGCTCCGCCGAGTGTTTTGGTCTCATGAACGCGCACAACAATCACGTGTCTGCGGCAAACGGCGAGATCGGGCCAATCATATGCTTCAGTGATGCCGGTTCAATGAGGAATTACATGAACGAGGCTGGCATGACACTTCAGTTAACTGAGAACGATTTCTCTGCAGGTATGATTCCTTCGGTTTGTTATGTGATCGTTTGCAAATTACTTGTTGCTAGCTATGCTGTAAGCTAACACGGGGATTATAATATGCCTGGCTATCCGACGGTGACCTATCACCGTTCCATTGAGTTAATAGTGAGAATCCCCCATTGCGGTTACGCATGATCACAGTCGCATGGAGGAACTGTGGCATGATGTAAACATCAGCAGCAGCACGAATCAGTTGGGCGCCCTCACGTGGAATTATTTAACAACTACTAGTAAACACCCAGTATCCAGGTAAAATGACAGTGGCGGCGAATTGATGTTCGGGCCTCTTCGTCTAACATGTCCAAAAATGGACGTTAACATGTGGCATTTGCGATTCCACTATTGGTCTCTTGAAGGTTCGGTCGAGTCGTTTACAGTAACACACCGAATGACTCGTGCCACTGTGACACATTCCGTCGGCGTTAACGATAACACATTCTCTCATGTCATTTCAGGGATAATAATCCCCGAGAAATACTATTTTGCTTCCACGGTTCTTCGTATACTAATGATTATACTACCCCGACAACTATTTGATTAGCACTGCCAACACCTATTCGATGGAGAAGTACCTGTTATAGATATGTTTGAGGCGTACTCGCACAAAATAATACTCACGTTTCAAAAACAGAAACTTGAATAGTGTTTCCGAGCGTGTAATACTTCGAAAACTACACGCACATCACTGCATATACTTGTACCACAATTAGTTAGTTTTGAACAACATTGTTATCTCATTATATGCACTCTGCCGGTTAAAGTATGCGTTTTGTTCGCATCAAATATCGCTACAGTTTTTTTAAGATTATCGATTTTGAGTCAAGCATGTGTTTCATTACCCACCTTTCAGGTTAATTTGTGATTGTTTTTGTTATGTTTTTGTCTTTACAGTGGTCGTGTCTCACTTCTCAACGATTCTAGCATACTAGTAACACACATAAATACACAAACCATGTTTATTTAGTTTATTTGTTAGTATATCACCACGCATTCTTCATTTAGTTCGCCGCAATTTATCAAGCAGGTAAAGCCACATCCTTGTCAGTCAGAGTCCGTTGATTCTGCCTCAAGCGCGCCACTTCATGGGGAATATGTTTACACCGACACTGAAGCCAATACTGGGTTATTTATTACATTGTTTAAATGTGTATCGAGAGGTAATATTTTTTAATGACACTGGCAATGAGTTCCAGAATAAGGTACTACTATAAATTACACTGTGTTGACTTTGAGTTAAACGTTTCCTTTCTACAAACAAGTTTGCGTTTTCTACAGATCTTGTACTGTGCGAGTGCTGAATTGGGTCAAAATAATCTAGCACACATCTCGCATGATTATTATTTTTCAGATCAAAAATTAACATTCCTGTTTGTAATTTTCAAAGATCATACATATTTAATATACCTATGTTTTTAAAGAGTGGTTCGGAATGATCATAAAAGTTCGACCAATTAATTAGCCTCACAACTGTTTTTTGTAGAATAAATAGTGGCTTAAGGGTTGTTTCATAAGTATGGACCCAAACTTCTATGCAATATGACAAATTTGGTAAAATAAGTGAGTTATAAATCTTTACTAAGATTGATTTAGGAACACAGTGTCTCAATTTTGAAATAATACCCACAATGGGAGTTATCGTTTTAATTAATTTCTGAATATGAAATTTCCATTGCTTCAACATCAACATTTTAGTAATATGAATTTTGAAAAATCTCAAAAATACATTTCACTGCCACTTGAACGCAATTCAAATAATGACAATTTTTTGGGAAATAAGAAATGTGAATATTTTCTTGATATATAACACTGTGCTCAGTGTAATATGCTGAAAAATCACATTTTTATTGATATGAACCCCAATATTGTTACACGTTTTCTGCATAGTGTAATTTCATTTAGAAGAATACTGTGACAATATTTTCCCGATTATTTTAAATTGTATTACAATGCATTTTTGGGAATAAGCTGTTAATTAAGACGGGAATTATCTTACACATCACTGAGGTTTACTCCATTATTGTAGTCACTATTATCAACATCGAATATCGTGGTGCACGTCACGTTTGAAGTAGAAATAATTTATGTACGAATCGTACTCGTCGTTTCCATGGCGATGTTTTCAATAGCGGAACTCTCCCACCCCTCATATACACGCGCAGGGAGTGATCGACGACACCGTGACATTGTTACCGGGCTTTTATTATCAACGAACGCTGATGGCTACATGGATGTGATTCAATCTAGTCACGTCGCGACAGTGTTCGCAGTGATTTTAAATGAGACTCGCATGACGCATGATTATATAACGAAACATGTATACGTTTCTAAATCTATTGTCTCATCACTAACTGCCTGACTGTTGTTGGTCACGAACTATCAACTGAAGATGTACGACTCCTATCATTCGACGCCCTTATAACACACAGCTTTCACGGCAGCACATTCCCATTCAGTCTTTTTAAAGAATTATATTGGTCAATTATAATGTTTCTATAGACCCCAATGCAAAGCAATCTCGAAAAAACATGACAAGCACGCCATCCACTAATGTAACGTAATGCCATATGTCGCTGTGCATAATGTATACCCATGACGCACATGTAAAAATATTTCAAAAAAAAAGTTGTAGTGACTCCATTATTTATATTTGTCATTCAGCTCTGGGGCCAACATGAAGAGTGTATCTGTTTGAGTACATCCCCGGGATGGGACAACCTTTTAAACTGCGCTTTTTAGATGACAGGTATCAATATAGTGTTTTTGATGGAGGGAGAGATGTATGGATGAATGGATGGGTGGAGGAGTGAACTCGCCCACGTCTTTGTTCAATACTAAAGTTAACAATACTGTTCGATATCATCAACATGCACGTCGTCCAACCTGCACCGCCTTCCATGCTATATAGTCGTCAATCTTAAAACATTCAATTTGCTTTCTTCAAGGCTCGTTTGAATACAAGAATAATAATAAAAGTGAAAGTGTTTAAACATCAATGATGTATCAATTAATGCTGCTCTGACATCTTGAACTGATTTCTCGTAACTATGAACTCCGAGTTTTTTTTTCTGATTCTATATTATATTCGTACTCGTCTATTTACTCCGCTGAATACAATGCTCGCCTATCATCGTTTTGTGACATTTGAATTTTTAACTTTTATCAAAATGATCGCGTGAAATATATATATATATATCTGGGCATTTCAGCCTATCAAAATTTTAAATAAAGTTGCATTCTTATTTTGTATTATATACTGTAATCATCATGAGAAATGATAAAATCAGTTGATATGGCAACACATCCTGAAATGTAGGTTCTAAAGCAAGTATGTACTTGACATAGACAAGGTCGTAATATCTGTAATATCAAATGTATTCACTTTGGTCAATTTACTTTATTACGGGGTCCGTGAGTTTCTGTAGATCACACAGAGTGGGAATGCTTACAGGGGTCGGGGTCAGTGTGTTTCTATAGACCATACGAAGTGGGAATGCTTACAGGGGTCGGGGTCAGTGAATTTCTATAGATCATACGAAGTGGGAATGCTTACAGGGGTCGGGGTCAGTGAGTTTCTGCAGATCACAGAGTGGGAATGCTTAGAGGGGTCGGGGTCAGTGAGTTCCAATAGATCATGCAAAGTGGGAATGCTTACAGGGGTCGGGGTCAGTGAGTTTCTGCAGATCACAGAGTGGGAATGCTTACAGGAGTCGGGGTCAGTGAGTTCCTATAGATCATGCAAGGTGGGAATGCTTACAGGGGTCGGGGTCAGTGAGTTTCTATAGATCACACATGATCATGATTTGATCGGCAACAGATCTAGTGTTACAGACCGCTTTTAGAGAAACACTCTCTAATTGGTTCACCGAATTCCATCAGCAAGGAACTGCCGAGACGCGATTCAGAAAGTCAAGCGAACATAGTCTTTTTATACTTTGGACAGACAGTACACAATCCTCAATAGGCATACTCGATTTCCTGTCTCGCTTCTGCTGTACCGTATATAAGTCCAGTTTATGTTTGTATCCTCGACGGTATAGGTTTGGAACAGACCGAGGTAAAATCGCAGTATCCCCGAGCTGGATACAGCCTTGAGAAATGAGTTTGAACTCTGGAAAAGACTCTGAAAACAGAAATGGCGATATGATTGATAAGCTCTTTTACAATCAGAAGGAAAGCAGTTCCTTCACAGCTATAGTTGGTACGGGTAGCACCATCAAAGCCGTATAGGCAGGGTAACTCCATCAAAGCTATATAGGAAGGGTAGCTCCATCAAAGCTATAAAGGAAGGGTAGCTCCATCAAAGCTATAAAGGAAGGGTAGCTCCATCAACGCTATATAGGGAGGGTAGCTATATCAAAGCTATATGGGGAGGGTAGCTGCATCAAAGCTATAAAGGAAGGGTAGCTCCATCAAAGCTATATAGAAAGGGTAGCTCCATAATAGCTATATTGGAAGGGTAGCTCCATAATAGCTATATTGGAAGGGTAGCTCCATAAAAGCTATATTGGAAGGGTAGCTCCATCAAAGCTATATAGAGAGGGTAGCTCCATCAACGCTATATAGGGAGGGTAGCTACATCAAAGCTATATGGGGAGGGTAGCTCCATCAAAGCTATAAAGGAAGGGTAGCTCCATCAAAGCTATATAGGAAGGGTAGCTCCATAAAAGCTATATTGGAAGGGTAGCTCCATCAAAGCTATATAGAGAGGGTAGCTCCATAAAAGCTATATTGGAAGGGTAGCTCCATCAAAGCTATATAGGAAGGGTAGCTCCATCAAAGCTAT